TCTGAAAGAAAATAAATCCCACCCTTCAAACCTATGGAATCACCTTTGTGCCAATAATAATGAACATAACTTTTCAGGAAACAAATGCAAATATAAATTGAAACTGAATAAAATATCTCTAAAACTGAAGAAAAAAAAAAAAAATGCAGGTATTTTTTTTTTACTTTGAAGTAAAAAAAGTTCGGAAGTTTTCGTTTACGCTCCCTGAGTTTTCGTTCGCCATTCTGACGCATGTCTCTCGTGGGGGCAGGGCTAGCTGCAGTGAGTTCTCATTGGCTTCTGAGTTTTGATTGACAGCTTCTTGACCTGGAGGCGAAGACGTCAGTGTTGTGTTTAACGTTTTATGTGAGGATGAAAACTTCAGAAGCGTAAATAAAAACTAGTGTAGAGCATTTGTAAGTTCAGATCAGCAAAAGAAAGGTGTGAAAACAGTTAGCAAAACATGCAGTGTATTAAAAACGAAGTCAAAATATTTGCCTGCGTTTTTTTTTTTTTCTTCAGTTTATATTTGCATTAGCTTCTTGAAAAGTTATGTTCATTATTATTGGCACAAATGTGTTGGCACAAATGTAATTCCATAAACCTAGTGCACTTTTGAGGACTGAGCACTTTTGTTCAGCTGAGTGGAAATCTCCAGCGGTTCACTCACTAACCAGAATCCAACTGAAGAGGAGTTAGGGAATTACAGCAGGGCAACAGCCTAAAAATAATTAGATGTTCACTTGATACTGGCACTGTGCTGTCTAAAATCTTACACTGTAATTCCATTTCTCACAATACCGCATCGATACTTTAGGTCTTTTTATTAACGTTTTTTAATCCATTGGCGCATATAATTTCCAATAATTGTAACGAATAGTATGAGAGACTGAAACCGTTCTCTCACATTTATGCTCTCTCACGTATCAATGATTCAATTACAGTTGCAATGCATTGATCGTTATGCATTTGTGTATAATACATTGTATCATGACGTCTATAAGGTAGTTGGCCATAACGAGCCCTACTTAACACATTAATAATACCATACAAATTTAACTTTTACAAATTCTGCAAGCAGTATTTTTGCAGGACCATGAACATACGCAACGTTCCTACAACAGAAATCCCTAAGAAACAACACTTTCTACAGCACATCACACCAGGCTCTGTAAACACACACCAAAAAAAAAGAATGCAAACACTAACTGCGGATGTTAGCCAATCGGAAAATTTGAATGCAGTCTTCTGCCAACAGATCAAGTTATAGGCTAGAACAACGGTCGGTAACCTATTATGGCTTGCAAGCCACACCTGGCTCTTTGACAGAAATTAGGTCAGGTCTCTCTCCCTTTACCAACAAATGATCGATAAAAAAATTAGACACATCACTGGAGATTAGGAATGGCCATTTTTGTCAATTTTTAATTTCGAGCACTGATTGATCTCAAAAACAAGTATGGGTACTCGGGGGGCGGGGCTTGTGTAGGGGAAGGCATGTTCAGGTTTTTCTTTTAAATAAAACGCTGTTACGAAAATTTGAAATGACAAATAAAAATATGACATGCAAATATGTCAAAATAAGAAAAATATGACTAAAAAAATAACTGCTAGATTACCAATAATGAGAGTTCTCAAAAAGAAACATCTACAGCTGTACTCAAAATTATTCTTAAGTAATTGAAATAGCTCAACACAACAAACGTTTCAAGTGGTTTCCCCAAATTCTAAATTTGAAGAGTTCAGATGCAAAAGCCTCTAAATGTCATTTGAAATTTTCTTCTTTAATGATGATTTTTATCAAACTTATATATTTAAGTTCAGTAATTTCACTTAAATAACAATTAATAGGTAATTATCATTGCCATTTAAGTGAAATCACTGAACTTAAATATACAAGCTTGATAAAAATGATCATTCTAGAAGAAAATTTCAAATGGCACTTAGAGGCTTTTGCATCAGAACTCTTCATTTGTACATGCGAAAAGTACATGCCGTAACATCCAAGATGAAATCTCAGTGCCATTTCAACTAAATAATGAGTGGAACCTGGATTTTAATCAGTGCAGTGCTAGCCATAACTAAATTAGTTATGACACAAATCATTGTAATAAAAACCCTCAATGTAATTTTACATTAGACAGTGATGGGCATTTATTGGTTTGGATATTGCTGGACTGCTTTGACGTAAATGTGATAATGGTTTTATGTGAGTGATGAAGACATCTCTGAAAATAACATCACGCTCAACTCTCAGTTAAAGTAACAGCCTTGATAGAAAAGTCTAGAAATGGTGATGAAGAATCAGATGTACTTACTGGGGTGCAACTCTTCTCCAGTAGCGATCAATACCGTTCTTGAAATAAAGGACAGCTAGCCATCTCACATTGACGTCCAGCAAGTGATTATTGAAGATGCTCTGAGCAAAATCAAAGAGAAATAAATATTAGACATATAAACTCCAAAACAATTAAAAAAAAACTTTGGGGTGAAGTAAAATTTTGAATTGTCATGCTTTATTCTGTAAATGACAACAGGCCAAAATCATTTTAACATTTGGGTCAAGTCATTTATGCTCACACCAAGGCTGCATTCATTTGAAATGAAATCATCTTTCATCAGTTGAATGCATCCTTGCTGATTAAAAGTAAAAAATTAATTACTTTCAAAATAAATTAAATAAACTGGCCCCAAATTTTAGTGTATATATATAAACAAAAACACACACAAAAAAAAAACAAAAAAAAAAACATTGGTGCTAATTTGTTGGCAGCGCAAATACAATATGAGGAAAAAAATGCACAATAATACATGTGAACATATATATATATATGTCAATATAAGTATGTTTCAGCCATGGTCTCTTAATAAATTTGGCAGTGTTTTTTTTTATAAAATTTTTTTTTAAAGGGTTAGTTCACCCAAAGAAGAAAATCAAAAATTCACCCAATACGTTCCAAGCCCATAAGACCTCTGTTCATCTTGGTAATACAGTTTAAGATATTTTAAATTTAGTTTGAGAGATTTCCGTCCCTCAATTGAAAACGTATGTATGGTATACTGTCCTTGTCTTGAAAGGAAATAAAGACATCAAAGAAGTCCAAGAATTTTTGAAGCATCGAAAATACATTTTGGTCCAAAAATAACAAAAACTACAACTTTATTCAGAATTGTATTCTCTCCCGGTTCTGTTGTCAATCCAAGTTCAGTGACGCTGATGATGAAAGACACTGCTGATGTGTTATCAGTGCGCCCGAGCTTTGTTTACAGTCTGAGGGAGACGCACACTGTAAATAAAACAATCTTCGCAAACATGTCTAAGAATTTTGACACAGAGGAAGACTTGCATTTTTTTGCCCAGTCTTATTTATTTGAACCCAAAACATGGACACACCAGATACACATCAGCAGCGTCTTACGTCGTGGACTCGTGAACACGGATTGACAACAGAACCAGAAGAGAATACAACAATGTTGAATAAAGTCATAGTTTTTGTTAATTTTTGCACCAAAATGTATTTTCGATGCTTCAAAAATTGTAACTAACTCACTGATGTCACATGAACTACTTTGATGATGCCTGTATTTCCATTCTGGACAAGGACAGTATATCGTACATACATTTTCAATGGAGGGACAGAAAACTTTCGGACTAAATCTAAAATATGTTAAAATGTGCTCGAAAGATGAACGGAGGACTTACGGGCTTGGAACGACATGAGGGTGAGTTATTAATGAGTCACCCATTTTTGGGTGAACTACCCTTTAAGTCATCATTTTTTGCACTTTCATTAAGTGCCTCTAGTGACACAGAAAATGCACAATTTATCTTTAAAAAAACACAACAATGTGAAAAACCCGTGAATTCATGCATTTCCTGGGGTGAAGTGAGACAAGTTAGGTAAGTGAGGCTAAAGCCCAACACTGAATAATTAAAGGCTATTCCACTGTAGAGTGAGTTTCAGGATTTAATCCAGCATGCCATGTTCGGAATAAGAGCGCGGGGAGCAAGAGGCAGGCCATGGAGAGCTAATTCTCATTGATAAATATGTAGTAGCAGCAGTGTTCAAGAGGGAGCAGCTCCGCCAGGCTCTGACGCAGGGCCACCATAACCCAAAGGCTCAACGCTTGACTGCTTAGAGACCGGGGGCTCATTCCACTCTGCCAGATTATAGTCCATAAAACGATGTTGAGCAGTGAGCACAAGGCAATAATTCACAGAGAATAACTGTGAGGAAGAAGTCTGTTGCATTCAAAAAACAAACCGAGAATTACATGACACTGTGATGCGAAAGGATGCTTATTGCTTTCAAAATATGACAGGTGAATATCATACCAATAGACTGCTGACAAATAAACATGACTCTGAAAAAATTGACTTGCCGCCTCAGAGTAATTCACCTCAAGGTCACTGAAAGCACCATTTGAGAAGACAAATAAACGCGAATCCATACAAATGAGGCTGATTTCTTTCGGTGACAGACCGAGTGACAGCAAGTTGACTCAAATACAAACAGATAAGAGAGGCTGATGGGACGTGACAGACATTCTTATTGCACCGCAGTCGAAGTTGACGCCTGCGGAAATCGTTGGAAAAACTGCTGATACGTAGGATTGGGTTCCATTCCTTTGAAATCCTATTTCATGCTAAACCTTGCTAGCGAAGAAGTCTGTGCCAAGTTTGAGGGCTTAAAGGATTTGAGAGGACATCTACACAACCCCAGCCAGTGGTGTATGACAACAGGAATACTACTGAGCCACCTATTGAGGTCCACAGACACCTCATTCGCTGAAAGAGAGACACGATTGAGTCATACACGGCACAAGACCAGATTTCTGCAAATCCTGTAGATTGTTTTTTTTTTTTGTTTTTTTTTTTTAGACCTGAGGGACGTCAAAAGTATGAAGCTGCCCTTAGGCCATGTAGAAGATTTTTTTTTTTTTTTTTTTTTGAAGTCTGATAAACAGTGCCTACTATTTTGAAATCTACTCTCCATTTGCACTCAATTTAGAAATTAAGAAGGCCTGATGATCAATGCAGGATGATTTATTACAATTTTAGAGTTGGTCTTACAAACCCTCTAGCACCATCAATGGGTCAAAGAAGCACTGGACATTTTGAATCGCAATCCTAGAAACAAAATTCCTCTTTTATTCTGGTTGACCTATTTCCACAAGATATATTTCACCCTATATTTTTGGACATAGCGGACAAAAGTACCGTTTTATTTATACTTTATTCAGTTTATGATTAGAAATGATAGAAACTCACATTAACCCTCTGGGGTGTAAGGTGTTTTTGGAGTCCTTGAGATGTTTGGACTCTCAAGGATGTTTGGCTTTTTTCAGTTGCTTATAAACATATTAATGTCAAAGGTGAAATTACACTATGTAGCACAAATAGGGCTACCATAATATGTGAGCCACATGTACATGTTTGTATTTTTGAGAGAATATTGTTTATGCATGGTTATTGAAACAACTAAAAATTAAAGTTTCTGAAATAAGGCCACAAAACACACTAAATACGTGTCCACACGACTTTTGACTAATGAATGTTAACGCCCAGAGTTTTTGCTACAAAATCATCCTGCCTAAGCATTCACATAAAACACCAGATTGTTTTAAATTGTGAAAAACATTTTTTTTGTTTGGAAAGGCAATATGCGTGGGGGCGTGAATGGCCCAACTACCTCGTGAATAATTAGGTGGTTCCCACCTGAGAAGACAAAGACCCGCATAATAATGAGCCTTTCATTCGGGTGTCTCATACAAGAAAGAATGCAAGGACTATATATACATGATCAAAATATAAATGAAAGTCAAAGGCACATTTTTAGTCATACCTGGAAACTAGTGCTGTGCGGTTTGATCAAAAATGTATATCGCGTTTTTTTTTTGTTTTTTTTTTAAGCCGGTTTTCCGGTTTACGGCGGGTTTTTTCTCATGCATAATCAGGTGTTCAAAGCATTTAATAAAATAGTTATTTCTTAATATTTTAATAACATACTTAAAACCAGGAAATAACGTTAAAATACAATGAAGATTGCACAGAATAGTTGCATCTTATAATGGGAGAATTGAACGTTCTAATGACGTTTGAAAGATGTTCTTATTATAGCCAACTATTGAGTTGGCTATAATAAGAACAAATAATGAGTTCTCGTCCGCCTGAACAGACAAATTTACACAAAATAGTCAACATGCCCGTCTTGGGGAGCATTCTAGCAAACATAGAAGGTTATATCTTAAGTTAACGTAAACAACTGTTTACAACAAGAAAGACAAAACATGTATCACTATCAGTGTACTGGATCAGTGCATTATGTCTTAAAGGGATTGTCCACCATTTTTTTTTTTCATGTCAAACCATGTTATTCCCTTAACTAAGACGAGGTGATGCATACCTCTTTTGTCTCAGTGTGTGCACTCTATCGCTTTGGCGCGTGACACACTTTGATAGCACTTAATTTAGCCCAGTTCATTCAATAGGGGCCAAGCAGAGAAGTGACCAAACACCTCCACGTTTTCCCTCTTTAAATACAGTTACACAAGTATACCACAGCAAGTGATTGGGAGCACTTCGACTCGCTGCATATATATATCTATGGACTCAATGATGGCGCAGTTATATCATTACTCCGGAGAGAGGATTTTTCACGAGTGATGATATTACTACGCAGAGTCGAAGTGCTCCCAATCACTTGCTGTGGTATTCCGCCATACATTATAGTTATCCATTTTACACGCTTAGAAATGTGCAGCGTTTTATTTTGTGTCACCATTCTTGGTCGAGTTACTCTACTCATGTAACTGTATTTAAATAGGGAAAACGTGGAGGTGTTTGGTTGCTTCTCAGCTTGGCCCATATTGAATGAACTGGGCTAAGATAAGCGTGATCAAAATGTCTCGCGCGCCAGAGCGATTGAGCGCACGCACTGAGACGAGAGAGGTAAGTATCAACTCGTCTTAGTTAAGGGAATAACATAGTTTAATATGAAAAAACGGTGGAGTGTCCCTTTAAAGTGACAGCTGCCTAATATTCCTGCTGTCCGTGGACCTGTGTTAATATTAGAAAAGTTTTCCAGCGCTGGAGAGAGCCAAGCGGGAAGACCTAAAAACAGACACGGAGGTTGCTTTGATTCATTCGTTCGCACCGCTAGATGAGAGAGATTCCTAAACATTGTCCCTTTAACCAAGCAGCCGATATTGCCATAGCGACAGCAAGAAGCTAGTGGATAGTGATGGGAAGTCCAGCTCTTTTCAAAGAATCAGCGAACTCGTTCGTTCACGAACGACACATCACTAGTGAACTGCCGAGTCGTTTTCACACCCAAAATGGCGGGAGCGTAGGGCTGCTGCTGACCCCTAGTGTTACAATGGAACGTTCTCTTGGCTTTTTTTTTCTGTCTTTGGTAACATCCGTGAATGTCACTCACAAATATTACAAGGCAACCACAGTAGGGGGAACGCCCTCCAGCGACCTAACCGCCAGCCACTGGCAACCAAAATCACTTGTAGTGTGAACGGGGCTTTAGTTCTGAATCACCCTTCTGCTGCTCCTGCCAACGAAAGCTCAAGCTCAAACCAAAAAATACCATTCTACAGGACAGCACGGTCTCCACGGTCAACAGAACAAAATGGTTTAAATCTGCCTTTGTTCAGCTTCTGAAATGTGGCCATATTTACAGCTTCTGAAATGTGGCCATATTTACATAAATCTGGCTGTGTTCACCTTTAAAGAAAAGAACAACAACAACTTGGGCTTTTTGTACCATGACATGTAACAGAATATTATACTCCCTGCATTCGGAAGCCTTTAACCTCTATGCAGCTCTAAGGTCATTACTAATTCATCTACAACTAGTATAAAGTATAAAATATTAATAGTACATTTTAAATAAATTAGCTCATGTGCCAGTGCAAAAAAAAAAAAAAATCCATGAACTGCATATTATTATGAAAATTATTTGGGTTCAGTATGCAAAATCAATGCCCTCCTGGACCACTTAGAACACCGTTGTATGGTTTGTCATCACTGGCAGCCCTTGACACCCCTTAAGAACTATTACATACTTCACTGATTTAAAAAAGCTTCATTTCTTTTTTGTAATAAAAGTGCTCATAAATAAAACAGTGGCATAGCATGAAATGCAAAATGAGTCATGGCAGCTAATGTCCATCTGGTGTGGATGCTGGCCCAAAGATCAGGTGGACCACCATCACACCTCAGTGCAGACTCAGAGCACAAAAACAGCCTCCAACAAAATCTTTCTCAATGTCACGGCCCAGCGACCAAGAAAAAACAAAAACCCGCACGGGTCACTAATACAATGCAATTTAGTTTCGCGTCCTATCATGTAGGATAAAATATTAAACTTGAATTTATATTTAAGGTAGTTTGGTAGGTTTCTTTTCATATTAAAGTTAAAGAAAAAAAGAAAAAAACATTTTTTACTTTTAATAATAAAATAATTTTCTAAGAATTAGTAATAATTATATCCCATGTTTTTTTATTTCTTCTTTACTGAAATCATTTATTTTTTAAATATTTTTTTAAATTTTAGTATGACTCATATCTTTCAAAATCCTTTTAAATGGCAACATCTAGCATCTACATCTGTCCCCCTCCCTCCACCTTCCCCCCTCCCAACCTGAGTTATTAAATCTGCAGAACAAAAATGTAAAACATTTAAAAGACATTTAAAAAAAAAAAATAAATAACTGATGTTAATGTTAAGTTATGCAATAGTTAATACTGTCAGGCAAGTTTAAGTACCTGAGAAAACATACATTTTAGGGCAGTCACTAACGATTATTTTGGTTACTGAGTAATCTGTATTTTGACGATAAACTTTAAAAAATAATTTTATTGTTTGTGGTAATAAAAATAGACCTAAGTGAACAATAAGCTTTAAAATGACTTAAATACATATAGAATAACAACAAGGCAATACTAATAAAGTATTTAGAGCAAGTGATCAAATGGTTTTATAGAACAACACTGTTAAAATACATAAAATAATACACATTAATAAACAATCAACTCGTGTACATTGTATTATAACAAATGCCTGCAGAGGGCGCCAGCAGCCTGGTGTTACAATTTACAGGAGATTAACTCCTCAAATATTGGCCATACAACATTTAAATGTCACTTAATTTTTAATATTCACCCACTTCTTTACAATGTGTTTTCTTTAACAAGAATATGTGGACATCAAAACATGCAAACTCAGAGCAAGGGTTTAAGCTTTTATTTTAAAAATGCAATAGTTTGCATTTTAAGAATTTATGTATTCTCCTCTGTTGGTGTAGGTTTATAAATGATTTACCTTACAAATTTGATGAAATGTCACACATTGCGTTCACCGATGATTGTTGTAAGCAACCCAAACTCGTATATAGAGATTGAGACACTCCACGCATGTAAATGATAACAGTTAACAGATAAGCAGCATTTACTATAAATGGAGCTGCTCCGAGACGCAAATAACCTACACACATGTAAATGAAGCGCATACATTTTAGGACCTGCAGGCCATATCTTTTTTTATTGAATCACGGCCTTTATGAATTCACAACAGCACTATGCTATAGAATGGTTTTTAAATGGTTTGAGCAGTTTGATAATGCGGTTCATGGATTCTTATCTGTGAAATGCGCCACTTCTGGTATTTTGCCGTTTACTCAACACAGGTAAATTCCAATCTAGGACTTTTTAAAATCAAGCGCTCTCATTTAACTGAGAAATCGTGACAGCCCTAATATATTTACACACACGTATTCAAAAAGTTACTGCACAAAAGGAATGGCCACATTATTCTACCCTCAGTGAAAAAGTGAGGCAGGTTAAAACCAGGGCCGTAAAACGATTAATCGCATTCAAAATAAAAGTTTGTGTTTACATAATATATGCGTGTGTAGTGTGTATAATTATTTTGTATATATAAATACACACACATGCATGTATATATTTAAGAAAAACGTGTTCTCGATGTATCAAATATTTATATTTATATATAAAATTAATTATGTATAAATATATGAAGAGTTCAGATGCAAAAGCCTCTAAACGCCATTTGAAATTTTCTTCTTTAATGATGATTTTTATCAAACTTGTATATAATTACTGAACTTAAATATACAAGTTTGATAAAAATCATCATTAAAGAAGAAAATTTCAAATGGCATTTAGAGGCTTTTGCATCTGAACTCTTCATATATAAAGTATATACATGCAAATATTTCTTTAAAATATACATGCATGTGTGTGTATTTATATACACAAAGTTTTATTTTGGATGAGATTAATCGCGATTAATCGTTTCACAGCCCTAGTTAAAACGGAAGGTGGAGTCTAGCTCTAGGAGTGGGCGATATGACCAATATCATAAACAATTTATTGACTTGACTTTAAAAATGATTTCATTTCATTTGATTTATGTATTGTTTATTTGGAAATTTGGACAAACAAACAAGGTTATTCAAAACAAACAAATGACAAGTCTGGCTGGCATCAATACAAAATCATCTTCACATCATGCAACACTTAAATTTGACAATAGAGTAAATTATTTTGAATCTGACTGGATAAGCCAGATTTGAAATCAGTGTATGTACATTGATATGTAGCAGCACATTAGTTTTAATTAATGTGCAAAGAAGCTTTGTTTGATTTAAAATGACCAAGAAATTAGATTTTGGGCATACCACCAGCCCCAGTTTAAATGCATCACAGAAATAAGAAGGACAAAGCCTCGAGACATTGAACTACACACTTAATAAAAAAATAAAAAAAATAGGAAAACACATTGTATCTACTGAATCTTATTATTTGCGATCTACGCAACAACAAAATTGCTTCCATCTTCTCAACTTGATTTCTTTGCTTTCGGTTAATGCAATTCTCTAAAACGTAAAATCTACTATTCAATTATTTAGAGTGAATGTGAACCATCGGAAATGATTTCTTCTGAAAATGTAGTTCCTAGCATGATTTGCTTGGGACATATTGAGGAGAGTAAAACGTTGAAATTAAGTGTTATTGTACGCATTTTTGAGCTAGATGAGAAAAGGGGGAGACATTATAGTGTTTAATAGTGTTTATGTTCGATTATATTGGAATTGTTAGCAACATTTATATTACACTGTTTATATTACAAAAAATGTTGTTTTTCACTAGGGAGAAGAGTGGAGAATTAGCTTCGGCTGTGGAACATTACAGCACGTCATTACTACTTTTCTCAATGAGCGTTTAATTCTTAGCAGCACTTAGCATGCTAATGTGCTATTGTTAGCTAGCTAGTACAATGTTATAAATCAGTCATTTAACACAAAATTATATGATATTGAATTAATTAATCCTGTCAGGGAACCATATAAAAACACCTTGATTCTACTTTATTGAGTCACTTTAAAATGACCTCTTTCTGTGATGTTGAAATTAAGTCAACAAATAATGTTTGGTCAATTTAATTGACTCGTGTTGAACTGATGTACATAATTAAATCATATAAATCCAAAACACTTTTTAGATGGTTATTTTGTTGTATCGTGCCCCTAAACTGAGCAGATTCTCACCAGCAGCACTGAGTAGAAGCCAGGCTGGGTCTCCCATTGGCGAAGCTGCTCCTCTGCAGGCTTGAGCACAGCTGTGTCCTGACTGGTGGCCTGGGTCAAAACCTGCAGCACCACCGAGCTGCCGCTCTGGATGTCCATTAGGTAAAGCTGCAAACACAAACAGAGCATTTATCATCTTATTATTCTACATTCTTGAAAAATCTAAGTTAACAATGCTACCCCCAGAGTCCTTTGCAATTATTCTTAGTATTTAATAAAAGCAGAGTTTACTCCCTCCCTACAACACATTAATATACATATATATATATATACACACAGACATGCTTGAAAGTTTGTGATCCCCTTGCAGAATTTTTTGACAAATTGTAACAAAATAAGAGGGATCATACAAAATGCATTTTATTTTTTTGTTTAGTATTTTAAAGTATAATATACTTTTAAAGAGTTTACATATGGTCCACAAGACAACAAAATTGCTGAATTTATAAAAATGTCCAGTTCAAATGTTTATGTATGATTCTTAAATCTGTGTGTCGTTTTCTGAATGATCCACGACTGTTTTTTTGGGGGGGGTTTTTTGTGATGGTTGTTCTTGAGTCCCTTCCTTGTTTGTCCTGAACAGTTAAACTGCACAATGTTCTTTAGAAAAAATCTTCAGGGATTCAAACACAAACACAACTATTAAAAAAAATTAAAATATTAACAACACGGATGCATTAAGAGCCAGGGGTGAAAGCTTTTGGAATATTTATTTATTTATTTATTTATTTATTTTTCTTTCTTTTTCTTTTTTTTTTCAAACGTTACAAAGATAAATGTAAATTTGACTTAATTCATCTTCCGGGAAACATGTAGGCTAGCCTCTATCTTTTGTTGCTTCCAAAGGGAAGTACTAAATGAAAAAAAAAAGTATATTTAAACAAAAAAGAGGATTTCAAATATGTAAAAGATGCTGGAAACAGGGAAAATTTGGAGAAGTTTTATAAGTTTACCAGCTCCATGTCAACTGATCCCAAAGTCTTGACTTTGATCCATTCTTACTGCTAGAGTGAAATATGCATAATGATGAACCCAGGCTTGTTCTGTTATTCTAGCCAAAGAAAATTAAAGGGTTAGTTCACCCAAAAATGAAAATTCTTTCATCATTTACTCACCCTCAACTTGTTCCAAACCTCTATGTGTTTATTTGTTCCGCTAAACACAAAGGAAGATATTTGGAAAATATATTTAAATATATAAAGATATTTGGATCTCAATCCCCATTGACTTCCATTGTAGGAAAAAATAAATACTATGTATTAGTCAATGGGGATTGGGATCTGTTTGATTAAAACATTCTTCCAAATATCTTCCTTTGTGTTCAGCAGAACAAATAAACATATAGAGGTTCGGAAACAACTTGAGGGCAAGTAAACGATGATAGAATTTTGATTTTTTGGGTGAACTATCCCTTTAAATAACATCAAGTTTGAAAACCTTTGCGGTGCAACTCTGCCCCCTATTGTTGCAAAGCAGAAAAAACCTTCATGTCCTGTCCGAAATAATGCCAAAATACAGCAGAAGGCTTTAGAGCTTTCCCATCTCGCGGACAAACAGAAAGTAGCCACTCAAAAGACATTCATGCTGTGATAGAAATGAGTAATTACTGGTAAACACGGCACAGATGCTGTGCATGTTCAATTATGAACTCAAAGGCATTTTGTAAGTCATATAGTTGATATTGTTCCTACATCAATCTTCCTACAAAATCGGTTCCTACATCAATGCTTGAAGTAAAATCTCATAGTTATTAGAGCGATAAGTGTAACTACACTGCAAGCGTGTTTAAAAGTGTTTCAAGCGGAAGGTTGCCAGCTGCGATGTGTTCGTTCCAGGCAATCTTGAGTGTAAGGGGACTAAACTACACTTTTCTGCCCAACAAATCTGATTTCGAATGGAAAAAAAAAAATGAAAATAAGTCTGTGCAAACGGCCAATTTATTAATCTGTCAGCTTCCCTGTATTATATACCTGTTGTTAGATCAGGTAATAAACAATGCAAACTATTACATGCAGGTTCAGAATCAGATCTGGGAAGAGCACAGAAAACGATTGTTTACTCAAACAAAAAAAAAAAGTTCAAATAATCTAGGTTCAGGCTTTGAGGTGTAGTGACCTAGTAGCCTATACATGTCAAACATTACAAAGCCACAACACAACACAAGAGACAAATCAACCCCTGCTGGCGGACGCCATATAATATCACTCTGGGGGACAAAATGTCTCTCCATTGATAGTGTTCTTCCGAGTAAATAAAATGTTTTGCATGGAACATGATGAAACACAAATTTAATAATAAAAGAAAACTATATGCATAATACATCGGCTACAGCTCTGAAAAGAAATACTTCCAATCACAAAGAATGCATGAAATTGATCAAAAGTGACAGTAATAAATAATAAAATATATAATAAAACATTTCCATTTCAAATTAAAAGCTGTTCTTTTGACTTTCTAATCCTGAAAAACATGCATGAGCTTTCCACAAATATATTAAACAGGACAGCGGTTTCAACATTAATAATAAGATGACACTAAAGACTGGAGATATTCAGCTTTGCCATCCCAAGAATAAATGACATTTAAACGTACATTATGTAATTTTTGGCCGCCAGGGGTCGCTAACGCTAATCTCTCACAATAACAAAGGCGTATATCGATGATGCAGAGCATCAAGCGGAATTATGAATCTTGTCATCAAGCTGATGGATCTTTTATGGATGAGTCAGACTCAATACAGTGATGTTTTTAACATGAATGTGGTATGAAGCAGGGCGCAATTGCTAATCAGTGTTGGGAAAGTTACTTTTAAAAAGTAGTGTAACTCGTTACTCCTTACTTCTTAAAAAAAAAAGTAATCCATTACTTTACTTAGTTACCCCATATGGAAAGTAAATTTTTACGTTACTCGTTAGTTTTACATTACTTTTATGTTTCTTGACTTTGTGCCGAAATCTGTTATCCTAAATCCCAATATCTGTTCCTAAATGTGTAGGCCTACATAAAGTTATACTATGCATAATGCTTTATCTAATGCATAATGCATTAATTGCATTTATCAAAATGTTGAATATTTATTAATAAATGCCCATTAATGGATAGGCATATGCATGGGAGGCGCTATGGAGGGGCTAAAATGAAAGCCCCCAAGAAAGACCAAAGCTCCCTGCGGCGGTATTTCCGGTGAAGGTCTAAGGATGCTGGATTACTTCCATATAGATCATAGAGTACAATGCAATACTGAGAATTTATATTGGCTTTTATACTCCATGGTTAATACTAAAGAAACATTAGTCACAAAAACAGACAAAACAGACACCCCTCGTTGTGTTTATGCTTCTTTTTAAAATTATATTAAATAAACATAACTATATATAAACTACATCTAAACGTATTAAAGTTTCGTTTCAAAGACGGGAGGACAGTAGATTTGGAAGACTCTGCCATAATCCCGTTTTCCTCCGCTTTAAATCTCCCCAACCGGAAACTGAAGAGCATCCTTGCGTCAAATGCGGAACTTATGCGTGCATATAGCCCATTATATTCAGGCTGTTTTCTATGGAAGTCCTGATCTGAATGGTGAAGAAAAAAAAGAAAACGCATCTTGTTATTTCGACATAATAAGGGGAAATTCTAATCTACATTAAGCATTCTTATAATGGTTTTCTATGGGAGGAAAATGTTTCGCGTGTAATTAAACAGGTTGCGTTCATATACTGGGCTCACCTGATTTTTTATATACTTTATTATGATTTTAGTATCATAAGGATTAATAAATGCACACACAATTATCCGTGAACTTGATAAATGTTGCAGATATGTTTTACTATGCACGTAAACAAAAGCCTTTCAACTTATGTGCAACAATGTTCAGAAATAAATGAATGTGCAGCGAATAGAGACAAATAAAGTCTAGGCCTATACGTGTTGTAGCCATTAAGTTATCGCATTTGTTTTATTTATTTTTTTTAGATTATAATGTTATTTTTTTTTTCCATCTATGTTGAAAAAAGTGAACAGCATGAGTAAGATGGATGCGCAATATATTAGGATACATTGAGTGGGTCAAACATGATTTTGACCATTTCATTAAGTTTTGTTTTGAAGAAAGCCTTTCTTTACAGTGAATTTCGTTTTTGATAAATTCTATATTCATTTTAATACGTTTATAATCATCCAATTGCCTGGATTTAATAAATAAGACAATTCAAAAATTCTCAAAAGATGTTTATCTTCGTTTTAGTCCTCTTTTTGTCTCAAAGTCTGCTTGCCATGGTCCAAAATGTTTGAACAAAACAACAACAGCGTAAGCATCCAGCTAAGCATAATCCTATTAGACATTCCCTGTATTCTTGTCATTGTCTGTCGCCATGGTTACCATGGCAGTATGAACGGAAACCAATGGTAACGCGGATATGACGCCGTTGACTGGCGACTCCTCACCCCTGCTGACACGTCCCGTTTCCTTTGTAATAATAGCAATTTTCTCACGATTTACAAATAGTTGGAAACATTGGGGGATATTGTAAGTAATCAACTAAACAAAATATAACATTGGTCTCTAGTTGTTTTTGGATATTTTACTGCACAAATCCTACATATTGTAGGCTAACATTAAAAAAAATACTAAAATAAAAAAAAGTTATTTTTGAATCATAAAGACATTTCACAAAATAATACTGTTGTATTTTCAACATAAATGTAGCCTTGCTGAACATAAGACACTTCTTTAAAAAAAAGTAACAAAATTCACAGACCCCAAATGTTTGAAAGGTAGTATAAATAATATTCACATAAATTGCTGACATTTTATGCACAATATTCTATAATACATTGCAAAAAAAAAAAAAAATCTAACTAAATGTTTAATACCAATCAAATAGGCTATTGGTAGATATCCACACTGACAGAAAAGGAACAACTAACATAATGGTCAATGACCAAATGGACATGGTGTTACCATCCTATGCAGAAAATCAAATAATTCAAATCAAATTATTAAAACTGTGGCTGATATATCTATAATAACCCTGCGTGAAAAGGTCTGACAACACAAACAGTCAATACATTATCTATGTGTGCTCTTTACACACAACCACAACATCTGATTTCGATCTGAATAGATTAGAGAGTCAAATCCAAGATGTCAAAATTTAAATGACTGACATATTACACGTGGAATGAATATAATTAAAACATGAAATAGACACATATTTGCTCACCCAAGACATATTGCACATCTTATCACCAACCTTGAACCATCAAGATCGGGTCAATAAAACAACAGATCTGGAATGATGCATGTCCACGTGCATGTGGATCTGCATTATGAATTAATTTCTTTACCAGCAAAATTATTATCATTAGAGCTTCTTCTCGGCCTGTTACGGTGAACCCCTTAAACTGTAAACATTACCTGATCTGTGAAATAAATAATGTGTTCGAGCATCGTTACGATAACAAAAGCATAAGATTTGGATATACATTAAACATGTCAATCATTCTTATAATCATACTGGCAAATCTGTCAAGTGTCATTTGCTAAAATAACGCCTAAATGAAGCGAATCATGATCAGTCTTTTAGAATATGATTTCATCCCAGTGATATAAACTATCCACATACGAACAAAATCAGAGAAGTAAGTTAGCTAACGTTAATATACTATAACGCATGTCGGCCTATGGACCAAAGTGAAGTATTTAACATCACCAATTACTTTAGCTGGAGGAGTTATAAGAACCCAAAACATCCCCTCTAGCCGAAGATCTTGTTGACGTACCTTCTGCAAATATGTCAATGCCGGTGAAATGAAAACAGTTTGCAGTCGCCTCTAAACACCGCGATCACGTTGTGAAGAGGATGGCGCCATCCACAGTGACTGCTGTCGCATTAAAATGACGTCATTGCATGTCCAAACATTTATTTTTGTGTCTAACTTATAAAGTTGATTGTAATTTGAATGTCATCTTGTATTTATTAGGTTTTCTTAATAAAAATAAAATATCTTAAATAAATAATAACAAAATAAAGTGATAATAAAGTTTGGTTATCTGAGGAAAGTTTGTTTTGAACTTGTCCTTTGTAGATATTAAACAGAGGAACTATGACGAAGAAGGTTATGTTTTTTTTGTTTTTTTTGTTTGTTTTTTTTGTTTTTGTTTTTACTGGCTAAACATTTTATCCACAAATGTTGACTTTTTTTAGGTCTCCCTAGTCTTTAAGAATTACAAAATTTAAAAGCAGAATTAAGAAATTAAGAAAATAGCTGGGATTTTTCTGAATATTTAACAATATTTGTTATACTCCTGTGATATTTTTGTAGGGATATTGCTGTTATTTTGTGTTTATTATTTATTCTTTTGAGCTTACAAGTGCAGATACTCTTGTTTTTATTCCTATATTATTCTCTCCATCCGATTTTCATTGTGTCTTTGTAATTTGAACACCATTATTCCTATTATTTTTGGTTTTCTTCATAAAAAAAGTGATTCTGTGGGAAAAGGTAGCGAAAACACTACAAAGCGAGGAAACTTGGTTGTGTGTGGTATTTGATGATAACATGTTGTGTGAAAATAGCCTGTATATTATGGACAGTTATTAATTATTTTTGGGTAAATTCCATACAAAAATGGGCACTTTGCAAACAATTTTCTCATATAGGCCTAAATGAGCCTATGGAATTGTAATTAAACCATTTCCCCTCACAATGTTACCCACGTTATTAACTCTGAACTCTCAGTACAAATACCCCTTTTATGTTTTCTTGTAGTTTTGAATACCCAATAATAAAAACAAAAAATTCTTTATGGTGAATACACGTTGTGTATTTCACAATTTTTTTAAACTAATTGTGTAAACAAAGATTTAAGATTTACTTATGAGACTGTAACTTGTTACAATTGAGAATAATAAATGAGTTGCATTTATTGTCCAGCAGGTGACGCACATATACCGCAAAAAGATCACTCTGCCATCACTTGCAGTCTATGTATAAAGAGAGGTTACTCATGCACATCACTGACCCAAATTCACTTATATAGACACTAGTTGCAGTTAAGTGTTGAGTTGTCTTGCATAGCCAGACTTGGCTAATAGACTGTAGATGGTCTGAGGCTGTGCAAAGAGGTGGAGTAACCATTATGAGTCACCAAATTGTGTATCCCAATTACTGTTAGGCCCTACCTTGAAAAGAACATCAGATTAAAAATTGTGAAAAAAATAAGTGGGTCATGCAAATAATGAAATCAGAAAACTGCTATGAATGGGGCAATATTTACACCCTGGACCTTTATGGGGGTTCTGTTTCATGTCAAAAAACTTGCATTGCATCAATTACTTTAAATAAAATATCAATCAGAACAATTTTATTACCCATGAAATCAAATCAATATCAAATACAAAATCATTTGAAACAATGGCTATTAATACTTATTATGTCATGACAACTCTCAATATATTGATATGGTAATATTTTGGCATTGGTTATGGCAATGTTAATAATATATTTTGTCTTGGTGGAATAGACAACGCAATCTCACACAATTTCTGTCCCCCAGTCTCACCCCAGTGATGGGTAGGTTCAGGGGCGGAGTCAGGGGTAGGTAATTCGTACGAATTCATACAAATTGGGCAACTTGAAAATATATACAATTTAGCAAAAATTGAGGTTGTATGAATTCGTACGAATTAACCTCGTAAAATACATACTAATTGCTGTGAGATCGGGTTGGTTCTGCTACGCTGCTGCAGATCATGTACCGATACTTGCTAATGTCAATACATTCACAGACATGCTGTTGTGAGAGCATGTATGACATGCTGCTGCTGCACACGTAACCTGGATTAACCCACGTAGTAGATCTATATAGGTGGAGCTGGGGAAGAGGGAGGATTCTGAAAGCGTGCTGCAGCCAAGAATTTGAGTGTTTGAGCAGCAAGCTCATTGGCCACTGAATCAACAGCAACCAATCATGACATGATTGCTACATATCAGCCAGTTTCATGCAAGAGCTGTGTAATTATAAAAATATATATTTAAAAATAATAATGTTAGATGTTTTATTAATAATATTATCAATAGTAGCCACATGTTGATCACATGATTGTGATGTTTGGGAATAATGTCACTACAGAGAGAGGGGGTGAAATGAAAAAATGACTGGGCCTATGTGATAACCCACAGCTTGTTTTCAACAGAAATGGGGAAAGTCCAATTCTTTTCTGTATACTGTGGGAGGATGTGGGCACATACCAAAATCACAGTCAGAGCATCTCTTGCCTGAATCTGGATGAAGTGCTGAAAATACAATAGGCTTTGTTCAGCTAATAATCTTGATGTTAAATGACTATTATATGCACCGTTACAGATAGGGGCCTAAATTTAATTCGGGAGCACGTCACTCTCCACCCCATTTCTTCTGAATCGCACACAAAACGTGTCCTTCGTTTGTGCTTGGTTTGTGCCGATTTGTGCCGTTAATATTAACATGGTATCTCCCCTCCTTTAGAAATAACAATTAGCCTATAATTCTGGGCGGTGACGTCACTCTCCACCTCACCTCTTCTAAATCGCACCAAACCGGTGCGGTGTCGTTTGTTTGTGCTCGGTTTGTGCCGTTGAAAGAAACAACTACGATCCCCTCTTAAACATAAAAAAAAAAAAACTTTTTAAACAGTTAGCCTAACACTCCACCCCATTTGATCTAACTCGTTGCAAAACTGTGACGTTTGTTTGTGCTCAATTTGTGCCGGTTTGTGCCGTTACGATGAATTATGTATTTTCCCCTCCTTCCCAGATAGCACAAGGCTGTTTGATGTCCTATTTACATCTGGAAGACGTATTTTTAAGGTTGTTTGCTCATCTGCAAGACGTCTATAGGACGTTTCCTGCAGATGTCATTTAAGATGTCAGTTTAACATGCATTCTAAATCATTACATCTTAGAGACATCTTGACATCTGCAGAAAACGTCCTATAGACGTAGATGAGCAAACAAACAAACTTAAAAATAAGTCTTCCAGATGTAAATAGGACATCAAACAGTCTTGTGCTATCGGGTAAAGAATTAGAACATTGGATTCGGGACAGTGACGTCACTCCACCCCACCTCGTCTAAATCGGCCCAAAACGGTGCCTTTTGTTTGTGCTCGATTTGTGCTGTTTTGTGCCGTAAAAAAGAACCATAATAAATTATACAATTCTTCAGACATCACAAAATCTTTGGAGGTGTAGCGATGAGTGACGTCACGCAAGCAAGCCGCGCTCTCCATCTCGTCTACAAACCTGGTGCGTTTGTGCTCGCACAGGGCCGCGAGTCCGCGACTGCTGTTATTGTTCTTTTCTTCTTTAGATACGAAAATGTTTTAGTCTAGATTTGTGCTAGATATTGACATTTGCCTTTATAAAATCACCAATGCACTATGTAATGTAATGTAGCTGTCAATACCCAGAGTAGGCCTACCATGAGTATTTATTATTCATTCACAAAGAAAATTTGTGTCCTTAAAGGTTGGAGTTTTCCTCATTTTTCTAATTAAGGCGTTAAGATCAATATCCAAAAGATGATTTTGTATTCCTCTTTTTAGGCAACTTTGCATGGGTGCCAAAACTTATTCATACCACTATAAATTGCATAGCCCAACCTGAACTGATTTGGAAAGAAAATATGCAGTTTAAGTGAATAAGTCACTCCCTATTATTTTGCCCAACATCTCGATTTCATGGAAGAAAGTAATAAAACATTAACCAGGTGGTTTGCCGGTATGAATGAATACTCTTCATCCACACAATACAATCTCGATGTATTTCTTTGTTTAATACGAAATGACTAGGAAGATGTTAAACCAAGAACAGCAAACTAACAAGTAACAGTCCTTAATAGTTGCCTTAAAAAATATTTTAAACAAACAGAAACACTCACCCGTCTTTGGTTCACGTTCACCTTCAGGGAAAGATAAAATTCTCTGATAATTTTGTCATCTTCAATATAGGACTAGACCAAGGCCAAGATAATAACACGTATAAAAATACAGTAGCCTAAACTTCCATCTGATAAATTATGCTCGATTTGAATAAAATACATAATAGGCTAGCAAAGGAGATTAAAAAGTTTTCAAAAAGCTGACACACTTGCATTGTTTGATTCGGGTAACTCAATAGGCTACCGTTTTTTTTATCTTGAGCGGACGAAGTCACTGGCACTAAAACATTTTCGTATCTAAAGAAGAAAAGAACAATGACAGTAAAACAGTACGTTCAGTTCACCTTCGCCCAAAATATGAACGAGTTCTTGGACTATCGTTCAATGAACACGTTCAGGCACAACACTTTGTGCCAGCCTGCTATTTTATGAGGAGGTCAAAGGGTTCTGGACTGGTGACCTCACCAGTAGGTCTCCGGTCTAAGGACGGCCCATGGCAACTGCGCGAGAATTTCCAAGTTCAGCAGAATTTACTATGAGAAGGCAAATGCTGCCCAACAGACTGAGAACTGATGAGATCAAATTCAGCTGCAATAATATAACTCTATACTATACTATTATATGTAAGTCAGCCTGCAGTGAAAGGAAGAGACGCGTGTTTCTCCAAAGAAAATCTTTCCAATAACATAGAGGCTAAAATGCAAAGCCACGCACACCACGTTCGTTGAATGTCAATGAACTCAAGTAACCCAGTTTAAGGTGAGACCATCTCACTCTCAGCCAGTCAGAATCAAGGCAGAAACATGCAGCTGCTGTGGACCAATCAACGCTGCATTTATTTTTTCCAGCTCATATTTTCTTTGTAAATACTTTTTAATAGTTCACTTCACACCCACAAAAACGGTTAACGTACGCGAAGACGCTTTGTTAAGCCACATCTCGTTTTT